CCATCCCAACACATGAATATCCATTGATCTAAGCGAGTCATATTTGACTGGCTGCCAACATTGCAAAAAAATACAGTGTGTTTTTGCAGTGCTAGCAAGAATACACAAAAATTCTTGTAGCCTGGCCCATTATTCAACTCACAAAACAGATGATTGGAATTAAAGCCACTTTGTGAAAATATTTTCTGTCATTTGTTATTTCTTTTGTCGGGGAAAAAAAACCCCCAACAAAATAGCTATTGTTTACCCCTCCCTACCTAAAGTTGAAGTTTGTTTTCAATGTTCAGTGTAGCAGTGTACTTATCAAGCTCTGCTACCTTGACTGTAGCAGAGTTGATGGTAAAATATCTGAGGCTAAATACAAGACAATATCTGAAGAAATCCCGTGTGGCATTTGCGTTCCAGAGTAACGCCGAGCTGGCCGTTAGGGACATGCTCAGAGAGTTTGCACAGCGCCGGCGCCGTCAGACCAGCAGCTCCTTAGAGGTGGAGTCAGAAGATTTTATGGACGACGGGACACCGATCAGACTCCGGGTTCAGATTAATGAAGAAGAGGTGAACTCTGAGCGTTCTGTCAGGATAATCTGAAGACGCGACGAGACGGCGGCCGATTGAATTGAACCTTTCCCGTTACAGGGCAGCGCCGTGTTTGACTTCACAGGAACTGGAACCGAGGTGTGGGGGAACTGCAACGCTCCACGGGCCATCACCCTGTCCGCTCTCATCTACTGCCTGCGCTGCATGGTCGGCCAGGACATCCCCCTCAATCAGGTAGGAAACGTTCAATCTTTGGCCTTCTTTAAGGTTTTTCTAATCCTAATCAGACGATTTTAAGAACAGCTTCCTCTTTTTGCTCACGAAGGGTTGCCTGAAGCCGATCAAAGTGATCGTCCCCCCCGGCTCCATCCTCCAGCCGTCCCAGAATGCAGCGGTGGTCGGAGGAAACGTGCTCACGTCTCAGAGAGTGGTGGATGTCATTTTTAAGGCGTTTGAGGTGTGCTCCGCCTCCCAGGTGAGACAAACGTCAATTATGTTCACCGGATCCTTCATCCAAAATTAAGGCCTTAAAAAAATCTTAAAATTCTTCTTTTTGTTTGTTTTTTAAAGTAAGTTGACTTTAAATACATTAATCAGAGGTCTTAAATTTTGTCTTGGCAGAACTTTTTAATTATGAAATAGAGAAAATTCTCATAAAATATCTCATAAAATTCTTGCAATTTTATGAGATAAGTCATAAAATTACGAGAATAAAGTTGCAACCCAGAATAATACAAGGGTAGCGTTGTAATAATATGAAAATAAAGCTACAATGTTACAAGAATGAAGTTGTAATATTATGACTATTCTCGTAATACCATGACTTTATTCTCATATTATTTTGGCTGTATTGTATTCTCATACAACTTTATTCGCGCGACTTTATTCTTGTAAAATTATTACTTTGTTCTCGTAATTTTATTACTTGTAATTTTTTTTTTTCATAGCATGAACCTAATACTCGTTTTGATGGTGAATACTCATAAATTAGCTAGGTTTTTGGAGTAAGTGTCAAAGTTTGTGCATTTGTTGGGAGATTTGCCTCTTAAACTCCACTCATAATGGTCTTAAATTTGAGTCGGTGAAAACTGCAGACACCCTGCTGCAGCTTTGACTGCATGTTTGCATATTTTTGCACTTCCTTAACGCTGCACTGTCTTCCTCCGATCAGGGCTGCATGAACAACATTTCCTTCGGCAGCGAGCGAGTCGGCTATTACGAGACGGTGGCTGGGGGCGCGGGGGCGGGGCCCGGCTGGCACGGCCGGAGCGGCGTCCACTCTCACATGACCAACACCCGCATCACCGATCCAGAGATTTTGGAGAAAAGGTGAGACAGTTTGCTGAAGACGTGTCAGTTTGTCGGGTTTTTTTTTTTTGCTTGTTTTCTTTTGTTATTGGCTGCAGCTGTTGATCCGTCTGCCGTCCAGGTATCCGGTGATTTTAGAGCATTTCTCTCTGCGACCCGGCTCAGGAGGCGCGGGGAAGTGCCGGGGAGGCGACGGCGTCATCCGTAAGCTTCTGTTCAGGAACAAGGTGGTCCTGTCCGTCCTGACGGAGAGACGGGCCATCCGCCCCTACGGCCTTAAAGGTAATCACTGAAACCTGCTCCAGGTCTCCTCTGTGTGTTCGTTTATTCCCTCCTCTTCCGTTTGTTATAGTCTAAAATCATTTTTGGTCGTGTTTCTCTCCGACGCTTCAGGGGGCGAGGATGGAGCCACGGGGCTCAACCTGCTGCACAGAGCCGACGGGCGAATCCTCAACCTGGGAGCAAAGACCAGCGTCAGCCTTGAGCCAGGGGTGAGATGAAAGACGCACTAATCAGAGACTTTGTGGCCAATTTTCTGGTTTTGTCAACCTAAAAATAGGAATAAAATTGTTTTTCTTAAAAAAAAAGAAAAAGAAACCCACACACACACAACAGATTTTCCAGTTTTGTTTTGCTGTACTGAGGGCAGAAATGGCTCTTTGGATTGTAAATGTTGCAGTAAAATCCTGCTGGTTGCTGGGAAAGAGGAAAAGATCTTTACATTAAAAATTACATGAAGCATCTCTGCTCTGCTACAATCTGTCCTGTGCCAGACAGATTGTAGCTCTTTCATTTCTGCAAACATAGAAATGTTATACTACAGCACAAGGCATACTGCAAGTTACTCATAACACCCAGTTTTGTGCACCTTATTTTGTTCGACATTAAATTAAATAACACATCAGCTCCTGGTCTCCCCCTGCAGGACATGTTCTGCCTTTACACCCCTGGAGGAGGGGGGTTTGGGAGCGAGGGAGACCCGAAGAGCGGCGGACCTCAGGGCAAGCGAAGGCGTCTGAATGAGGTGTTCACCGAGAGGGGGAGTGTGTTTGAATACAGAATGGCTCAAGAGGGAGTGTGAAGAGAAACGATGAAGAGCTGGAAGGCCAGAGAAGAGAAAATCGTGGGAAACAAGAGTCAGACTCTTCATCAAATGGATTTACCAAAAGATACAAAAAAAGAAAGTTAAAGGTAAAACTGTGACAGGCATGCTTTCTAGCATTAAAGTGTGAAAAATATTAAAAAAAAATGGCACATACTAAAGGTTTGACAAGAATCAGACTAGAATAATGGATCAAGCTCCTAAACTATGAATGTTTCTCTGTGAAATTTCACTTTCTGTTGAATGTATATTCCTGAAACTATCACGTTTCACACTAGTATTTTAATCCAAACCTATGAGTTTGCGAGAAGCACCGCAAAGTGTGTATGCTGCAAATGTCAGGATGAACTTAATTGATATGTGAATTGAGCAAGCACTTTTCTCAAGCCAACAATTTGTTCTCTTTACAAATATACCTTTTTTTTTTTTTTAAAGGTTGATAAATAAATCCCTTTTAACAGAAAATTGTTTAAATTTCATGTTTTGGAAACATTAAAAAAAAAAAAATTTCCACGACTGCAAACTTAATGTGACAGGTAGTCGCACCCAGAGTGGTTGTGTTGGGTTAAAGCGGCGTCCCCCTCCTCCCACCTTCGGTGTCAGGAATGATGATGAGCAGAGGGGGGAAGGAGGGAGTGCATGCAGGCAGGCAGGCATGCGTAGGCAGCCGATACAGAGATAGTGGTCACAGCAGGGGGCAGGGAATCAGCGGGAGGCTGACGGCTGCTGCACTGCTGATGTAAATCAGAGTTTCTGCAAGAGAAAGGAGCGCTGGAAACTCCCAGTTCCTGAACTCAAGCTCCTATTGCAACTGGAGATGATTAAAAAAAAAGTGAATAGATTTCATTCAAAACATTTCATCTTTTCTAAATTCAAAATATGCATGAGCTTTAATATTAATCCGAATGCTAAAATCTCTTCATTTCGTTTCGATGGAGTCCTTTTGGAGCGTTTTGTTGCTACACTAATATCGCCGCTGCACCAAGAAAATCCAGTTCTGGTAAATAAATATACTTCTGGTCGGACAGATTTTAACTTTTTCAGATTTATCTACACCAGCTGGGCAAAGTTACAAAAAATGTATAGGGCTGCATTATTTTTGCTGGAGCAGGCAATTTTTTCTTTAGTCAGCCACATATTTAAAATCAGCGCCCTTTCAAAGTACAACTTCTTTTTTTCCTTAATGTTGCCTTCATAAGTACAGCTTCAACAATTTTCATGGTTTAAATTGTCAACAAAAAGTCCTTTGCCGGAAGCATATAGGATTATTTTACCCAGTCTTTGAAAAAAAAAAAAAAAACCAGAAACAATGTAATGAACCTATGTCAGTTTTGTTAAAATGTCAATTTTATTTGTCTGTACAACACTGTTAAACTTTTTAGAAACCTGTTAGACTTCAAGACATCTCTACAGATGTATAAACTTTAATGATGCATAGTTACATATTGGTCAGTAGTTAAAGCTTGTATTACATTCTTCCGTCGAGGGAGGGAGACATCTAAAAGTGGTGTCCTTTGGAAGATCATCAGGTGAATAGTGCAAGAAAAATATCTATTAAAAAAACAAAACTGTTAAAGCTACATTTTTCATTATCATTAGCACCACCCTGGTGCAGAGTGGTCTAAAAGTGAGTTCAAGTGGTTCAAAATGTTTTGGATTTCTCTTGCAATCATTAATAAAAAATATAAAAAAAACAAAACAAAAAAAAAAAACAAAAAGAGAGAGACATCTGTAAACAAGGAAAGTAAAATCTTTACATGCATCCTAAAGATCAGCTCTCACTTAAGACCAGCCTGAGTGTAATGCGACTCGGGAAAAACCTGACAGCCATCAGTCATGAACTCCATTTGCCGTTTTGGACTTCTCGGCTGTTTTTTTTCCAAGAGTCCCCATGTGATACATTCAATAAGTCACAGTGGATAGACAGCATTAAAAACAATCCTCAAGACATTGTATTAAACAACTGTGCAAACAAGATCTGCAGTGCAAAGAGTCTGTAGCAGCACGACCTTTCATTGAAACACTGAGGTAGATATCTGTTGAGTTATATAGCTTTTTTTTTTTAGGTAGGTTTTCATCAATAAAACTCAATGCTGAAGGCAGAATTACAATTTGTTTTAAAACACACTGACGTGTAAATATATAAAAAAAAAAAAAGAAAAAAAAAGAAAAATCAGCTTCTGGCTAGCAAGAAACCATAAAAGAGATTGTGTGGAGCTTACGGTTTACTTCCTGGTTGGATTCCTCGTTTGGTGTGTGAACGACTCTCAGTACTGGTGATACTTGTTGAGAGGAGTCCCGTTCTGCAGGGGGTACTGACTCTGCGGTTGGTGATGCGAGTAAGCGTTCTGATTGGTGGGCAGCAGTGCATCGAACACGCTCTTATTTGGAGGAACCGACTGCAGCATGTTGTCCAGGTCCATGAGCAGAGGAGGTGGCTGAACTGAGACTCGCCTGCTGGGGAGAATCGGCCAGTAGGAGTGACCTATGAAGTGGGAAGGCGCCATGGGAGAGCTACCATAGCTGTAAAGTGGTAGTCCGCCGTGCAGCGGCATTACGGGGCCTCCGTTAAACCGCATGCTAGGTGGGGCGACTGCATTTGGGGGAGCATACTTGGCGTAGGAGGTTGGAAGCTCCCACGGAGGAGCAACGGTCTCCCGTCTGGCAGATTTGTGCAACGGCGGTCTGAGGTCCTCGTACCCGTCAGATCCTGCTTCACCATTAGGAGGGACACGCTTCCCAGTGTGGGACAAGACTTTCCATTCCTCATCGGAGGAGGTGGAAGAGGTGGAGGCAGGGCTTACCGAGCTGGCGGAGGAGGTGTAACGAGAGCCTGGAGGCGGCGAGGGCCGAGGGCGCTCCACCTCACCCCAGCCGTCTCTGTCCACATGCCCAGAAGCGCTCGTCGGCCGCAGGCTGTGCAGTAAGGAATCGATGGCAAAGGACGAGTCCAGCTTGGGCCTGAACAAGTTGTCCTGCGACGGCGGTGAAGGATTTCCTGATGACACGGGCGGGAGAGAGGTCACACGCTCAGTCGGAGGAGGAGGGGGCGGCTCAGATTCCGGCTTGTGTCCCTGCAGGATGTAGGGGGCCAGATCCTGAGCGAAGATAGTCTCGTCTTGGCGCGACACGGCCGTGTTCTGCCTCTTCAGGAGATCCAGGGGAATACGGTTCAGGTCCACAGCCCAGAAGTTCCCTTTCCCCTGAGGTTTGCCTGGATCCTTCAGCACCTGCAGATCAAAAGAAAGACACATTGCTGCCTGTTTGACCTGAATACCCAGTCTGGCAGGATGGGCTTAGTTTCACCCCTAAAAAAATTTAATCAGAATGGTCGCAAAATGCATAAACCAGCTGACCCTTAAACAATGTCAACCATTTTTATTGGCTCCTCTGGTGAAGTTGTGTAACAACATGATTGTACTTTGATACATTTACAAATATCGCTTAACAAAAGCTACAAAGTGTTTTCCCATATGTTTCAAAAGCTCCATCTCACTCCAACCCATATATATGATATGTAAACATCATATATGTATATATGATCGTTCCTGATGATTTTGATGATGGCATTTGACAAAATGCAATGTTTATTGCTACATTTATTTTTTTTTATTTTTTTTTGGGTGGCTTCCTACAAATGGAACAAAGTTTCCTTAAAGGGAAACATAATGACATCAGCTTCTAGAAGGGCCCCTTGAAGTCTTTGAAAGTGGAAGTATGAGAGCCTTAAGTACACAAACCTTAACAAAGCAATTATAGGAGGAGAGGTTGTGTCGCACAGAATCTCGCCACCCTTTGTAGTTCCCTTTGAAAAATGGAAACAGGGTACTGATCTCCTTCAGGATCTGGAATAAGAGCGAGAAACCATCTCAGTTCATGTTTGATGCAGCACAGCAATGTCTCTCACCCCCCACCCACCCCTCCCAAAAAATGCCAAACAGAAATATTAATAGTGGAAATGACTAATTTGCAGAAAAGTCCAAATAAATGTGTGGTTGGTTTTTTTAAGCTTGTACTGTATATCTTATCTGTGTTCTGATGCAGATCAGTGTCTGGCTTTACTGTGGCCCAAGCTTATCAAAGCAAACCATGAGTGGCAGGAATGGTGGTCACCCAAGTGTCACAGAGAGGTGACTGTTTAGTGTCAGATCTTTCAGTGTAAACGAGATGCCTGCATGTTAAGAAGTAGCCAGTAATCTTTAAGGGTAAAAGACTTTGTGCGCTATGACAATCTAAAATAACTCCCCTTTTTTATACATTTAAGACCATTTACCTCAGATAGTGTAAGCTTCTTCTCTGGGGAGCGCTGGATGACCATGGCGATCATAGCCAAGTAGGAGTAGGGTGGCTTGGGATACCGCTGGTAGTTCTTCTTCTTCCCACTGCTGGAACCGCTTTTCTCCCGTTCGGCCCTCCACGTCTCCCGCGTCACGTCCCGAAGCTTCCCGTTGGCGTCGTCGCCGTCCTGGTATGAAGAGTGGGCTGGAATGGTTTGATCCGCGAGTCCAGTGGCACCGCCACGGTGCTCGGTGCGTGCAGAGGGCTGCTGCTGCTGCTGCTGCTGGGGGGTCATCTCAGCCGGTTGTTGAGGCCGCTGCTGGGCTAGACCGCAGGAAGGAACCCTCCGCTGCACATTTCTGTAGATGTCAAGTTGATGGTCGCGGTGTTCTCCACTGTGGCACAGAGCGGCTGGTGCCAGGAGGGTCTGCTCCGGCCAGTGCTTTGTCATGTTGATGCAACCCCGGAGAAGAGGGGGAGAGCGATCGGCCAGGAGCGAGAAAGAAAGGGGGGAGGGATAAGGGAGGTCGAAGAGTCGGTCCTTAACTTCTGGAAGACTGCTGGCTCCAGGCTGACTCTATTTGAAGAGCAAACAATTAACAGTTTCATGTAAATCCCGCTGCGTAACAGTGGGGGGGGGGGAGTGAATGGCACGTTATCTGAGAGTAGAGTGGCTGATCGCCCTGGGGGGTTTGCGCATAGAAAAAGGACAGAGAAAGACAGTAAAATGCCATAATATCAACAAACCACTTGCAGCACAGATGTGGTAGGATTCCTTTTGGAACAACGCCTGGGACATTTACGCACCGATGACTTAGGCGGCGTTTTTAAGGGACAAAAACATTTACTGAGAAACTTTGGTAGAGCGCAAATGACTCATTTCGACTTAAACTTAAGAGGCGCATCTTTAATTTGTTGTTGAAGTCAAACATTACAGATTGTGCGGGAGGGGACGGGAGTTTCGGTAGAGAGATTAGCAATCTCGATTAGAGCTAATCAACTATTTTCCGTGAGCAATATACAAAGTTATTGGCTAATATACAAACACTGAAAGATTCAATACATTAAATAAAAGACTATCCGTGTTCTTTTTTCTTCTTTTTTTTTTTTTACCCCCCTCTTAGAAATGTACACTGACGACAATATAACACACCTGCATGACCTGAGAATTTCCACTGCCCGAATTCACAAAATTATTTGAAAAATAAAACGCATTTAAGGGAGAAAAACAGATTTGTTTATCTTTGTTGGTGACGTCACATGAGGGAGAAAAATTCAACACTTCAGAAGATGAGCGAGTTTTGGCACATTTTTATGTAGGCCTCAAGTTATAGTTAAATTGTATTGGGTTTAACTCTATGGGTTTAAGCCACCCAGTCAGCATTTTACAAATGTGGCCCATATTTGGATTGGATGAATTAGTTTTAATCTTCATATACTGGTGTGATGCAGCGAAACCAAAAAAAGGGGGGGAAACTCTTTTACGTCTTAACACCATTTTGAGAACCAGCTGTAGGACTTAAGGCCATTGCTGATATTTGGTCAACCCTGGTGGGTTCAATCTGTTGTGAAGGCAGACCTTGACCCATCCAGAGAAAAATGAATTTGCTTCTAGCAGCAAAAATAAAAATTTAACATCTTTGATTCTAAAATCTGACCTTTACAGTCCATCCTGGTCGTCTTCAGCTACCACTTCCATGTGTTTCTTGCTTACCTGAAATTCATGTTGTGCATAGGTTTTTTTGGTGACTATATTTTTTAATTAATATATGCATACTCTGAGCTGATAAACATCAGCTCAGTGGTCGTTTCATTCAAATGGAGTGAAATTATTTTGAATTTTAACATTGGGATTAACACATTTTAATAGTAAGAAGTCAGCTTGTTCCCCCTATATGCTTTTCAAATTCTGAAAAGGCAAGACTTTCAAAAGTTATTAAATATAAAAAAATGTTTTTAATTGTAGGCTTCCTGATCATCTGCACATAATTTGGCCCAATTGCTGAACACTGCCAGCAGGATTGTTCTCCACAGTAGGGAGGGTAGGTGGTGCTGTCTAGGACTGCGCAGAAAGTCACCCAGTGCTCAGAGACTAAAGTTTCGGGAATGCAAGTCCTTTGTTCAGGTTAATGTAGTGCTAATGTGTAAAAGTCTTGCTTCCCAGCAAGCCAGAGAAAACAAGTTGGATTACAAGGAGCTCCCATGGCAGGGGGCAGGGGGGAGCTGGTTAGCATATGAGGAAGCGGCTACTGGGCAGGCCTTTCATTCAAAAGCATGTTTGGGGTTTCTGATGTTCTACAGGCTGCTAAGTGCTGTGCTTGGCAGAACCATTCACACCTCATACATGAAGCAATGTTTCCACACCCAGTTGTTGGGGAAACTCGCTCACATTTACAAATCCCCCAGAAGAATCAACAGAATTTAAAATGTTAGCTGGAAATGAGCTTGACAATTATTTTTAAGGTGCTTATTGCAGCCTTATTTGTTTTTTTTTTTAATGAACTAGCACCATATCTGCCCATAATTTAGTTTACTCTACACATCTTTGAGAAAAAAAGTCTTCTTTAGAGACGCTTGCAAAAAGGACTTACCACTTAATATTTCAGCTTTTTCCACCTTTGAAGCAATAAGCAAACTATTTGAACTTGGCTACTAAGATAAGCAACAAGCTTCCATCAACCACCTGCTGCAATCTGCGGTTTTCTTCTCTCAGTTTGTCACATTTTTGCTGACACTTTATCCCCCTCTAGTGGTCATTGTTCAACTGCCATCTTGCAGTTTCACTGCAACCTTTTGACCTATACATACTGTGATGGAGACCAGGGGTTCCATCCCATGTTGATTATTGATATTATGTTGTTTTCAGTTCAAATGTGTTTTCTATCAGTTCTTTATTTTAGTTACATTGTGACAATTGGTGAACATTCTTTGTGGGTATGGAGACTGGCCATCTTTCCTGTTTAGAGAATGTGGGGGAAAATGTCAGTTTGTTTTGATTTAGATTAGTTCAATTTGAGTTAATTGAGTATTTGCCTTTCTGGGTGTGTCTCAGCAAGGTGGAGCAGAGAGGGAGACGAATGCTCCTGGAGCATACCAGCTTCCATTAGGAGGGGGAATACTCTGAGGATTTATATTTAGTTATATTTACTTTTGATTGACCTTAGATTAGTTTAGTTGTAATAATTTGCATGCATGTAAATATTTGTTGGATCATTTATTGTTTGTTAGTTTTGTGTAAGTAGTGTTTGTTTGTCTTTTCTTTTTGATCACCCCTTTACCTGGTGTAAGTGTTGGAACTTTCCTCAGGTATAAATGTCAGCTTCTTTGTTTCACAAAAAAAAAAAAAGGGTGTTGGTGTAATGAAGACTTGGAGCTCCCAAATAAATCCACCTCAAAGACATTTGTTGCCTCACTTCCTTCTTTAACGCAGAGCCTCCTCCGGTCAAAGTGACACATACGTATTTACTTGGTGAAAATTTTTTCTTACATGGCTTTGTGCTCATAGAGCTGAACAGGAAAGTCTGTGTTACACATGCACAGAGAAGTGTTGGTTTCCAAAAACACCTATCTGATAAAAACTGTCAGGCTTTCTCTTCCTGTCTGCCGGAGTGGGAGCTAATAGGTTTTCACTGGATTAGCGAGTGAAGCAGGGGAAGAATGGGACGTCCTGTGAATAGAACAGCATCAGGGACAATTCTGTTCATCTCTAGGCTGATTGTGTTGGGACAAATCCCTCCTCGGCAGGCTTTAAACGCCTGCCGAGGAGGACGGAGAAAGTGAAAGAAAGTCTCGATTGTGTCGTCTGTCTCTGAAAGGTCCCTGCGTTCTTTTTCTTTTTCTACTGAAAAACGGGAACAAGAATGAGCCTGCAGATAAACGTTGGGGAATAACACGGAAAATTTTACATTTTAGAGAGAATTTATGGTACGTGTTCCCAAGGCGTTTGGGAGAGTAGGGGTCCCACAGCATCACAGATCGTCCACCATACTTAACAGTGGAAATGATGCACTTTTCCACAATGTCATCCACTGTCTCACAGCAGACCCTCTTGGAGTGTTGTTATTGAAAACCTCCATGACAGAAAATGTTATCTTTACTAGCATCAATCACAATCAACTAGCTGGCATGTGGATAGAGTCAACTAGTTGTTCACCCCAAAAGGATTCTCCTTGCTACACTTCTCTAACAGTGAGTTTCTTTCTTTTAACACTCTTCCCTCACTTGGTGGCCAGTGGCTATATGAAATGTCATATTTACTCGACGAAACAAGACACTAGGCTAATTGAAATGTCCATAAAGCTTTTATATTCTGATAAAACTAAGTAAATTTTTGCTTTTGCTCTGTAGGAAGCTTATTGTTCTGTAGGAACAATTTGCTTCCTACAGAGCAGATTGTTCTGTAATTCGCTCTGTGGGAAGCAAATTGTAAGCATTTGCTTCCTACAGAGCAAATGCTCACAAAAGAGAGGTCGAAATATTCTGTTTAATGGAACCTTTTTCTACTTCAAAAAACCCCAAAAAACTTTTGTCCAGGAGAAAGGCTGGATGACGCTGTGGTACCCCTCTGTTGGAATACTGGAACTCTTATATTGACAACCTGATCTGCTGGAAGTGTATCCAGTCTTAACAGCTGCCCACTCGCCTGTTGAGTTGCACCTGATAGCTAAGCAGGATTATGAAGTTTGGTTGATGAACGAATGATCTGTATTTATAAAAACCTTTGATAATGTCCTTTAGGAAAACTGTACTGATTGCTCCACAGGGGTCAGTAGATAATTCCTGCTGTGTTTTGGTAGAGTGGTTGGCTCACTGCATTGTTTTTATATTTTTAGAGCCTAATCAACAGCAGAAATGTCTAGCAAATTAGCAAAAAAAAAAAAGAAGAAGAAGAAAAAACCCACAAGAGAACTGTAAGTCTTTGTGAAATTGATGTTTAGTTATTATTCTGGCTCTGTTTGGTGTGATTCTCTACAGTTCAACTCTGATAGATGGAGTCACATTAACACGTTTATGCATAGGTTATACGTATACAGGAGGAAAGAGTGGTGTGCTTTTCCTCTGAGGCATGTCAGGCTATCACACCCACCTGTTTACAAAAGGTTATATGAGTGTATATTCCTGGAACTTTGAGACTAACATGAAAGAGATTCCACAGAAATGTCAAATTCTACTCAGAATTTCTTTCTTGCACAATGTGGGAAGAAAAGAAATACATACTCAATGTCATTGTCATATAGTCGCACGACAAAATAACTGAACCTTTTCACCTTTGGTCCTTTGGTAAACACAAACTTCAAGGTATTTAAATACTGATCACAATGTAGTGCATAAGTGAAAATTGGAAGAAGAGCCATACAAAGTTTTCAATGTTTGTTTTTACAAATGCAAGTATGGAAAGTGTGGCTTGCATTTATATGCACCCCTCTTTCTCTTGATATCTGTAAAGATCCAGCACAATAAATTTCTTTCAGATGCCAATATGCAATTAAGAGTACACCTTTGTCATTTAATTTCAGTAAAACTACAGCTGTTCATGGAAGACCTCAAAGGTCATTATAATAACTAATTGTAGGACAGACAATTTGAACTTCTCATTATAATGGCCCAGTCAGTGCAATGAATATCACGTGTTATTATAATTCCACTTAATAATTATTAACTAATTTGTGTTGGTTTATCAATAGGTATAATAATAATATAATATAATATAATAGTTAATATGATGTGTTGTTTTATGTTTCATACAACAGACAAAATGTCTGCCAATAAAGTTTGAAGTGAATGGGGATGTTGGAGGTGAATAGAACTGTATGCATTCTGAACTCTATGAAAGTTGAACATTTCTCCCCGAAGACTCTGCCGCCCTCTAGTGGAGGCTGCGCTGTCGGAGGAGAGGGTACAGGTCAGGTTGTTATGGTGAGGCATTTCCCCTGAGGGCTGGCAGGCAGGAGCTGGAGCGGTGGACAGCAGCTGACTCGGTTTTCATAGCCGCAGAGCTGAACAGGAGCCGCCGCCACCGCCGCTGACAGCCACTTCAACAGGTAAGATGTCACCTCTGCGATTTCTATCAAATTCAAGTGGAAGTGGCTGTTCTGTTCGGTTTCATTTCACGCCTTTTCAAATAAATAAAGTCGTCGCCGAGAACACGAAATAACGTTTAATCTCCGCAGCGGTTTGTTTCTGGTTATGGAGCAGCTCAACAGCAGCCAGCTAAGGTAACGCTAGCATGACGTGACCTCTCTCCATAGTCGACTCAATAAACTCAGTCAGCAGGTCCTCTCAGTAGTTTTTATAGCATAATTAAAAGAAAAATGTCGACTCTGTTCGAGCCCTTCTGCTGTGAATGAAGGCGGGTGAGTTAAAGTACTTTCTACCTGACAGACCAACAGCTACCTGTTGAGTCAGTGTAGATGGACCGCTAAGGAGCGTTAGCTAATCTGCTGCTGCTCCTCCAACACCGTTTAGGTTGATGTTAAGCCTCTGCTGCTTCTATTGGAGCTTCTAATTACAGTTTAAAGTGGAATTAAGTCAAAAACAAAAGCCCAACATGCTTAATTCATTTCTACGACCACTTAAAATTAAAATCGTCCGGAAATTAGTGAACTGTAGTTCACATAGTGACATAAAAGTTCAGGTCATAGTTCAGTATATCTCCACTTTTTAAAGGTTCCCCCTGTATTATTAGGAGTGCGGGCTTGATAATCAAATAATTAGATTATAAAATTACCATACAATGCTACGTTTTTGAATTTATTAAGCCGCAAACTGGTCGACATAAAATTATTTGTTTATTCATTGTCATTTCCAGTGTCTTGCAAAACATTAATACTACATGTGCCTTTTCACAATTTGTTACCATAAACTTCAGGGTGTTTTGTTGGCATTTTATGTGAGAGGAACAGAAATTGGTGTTAAGTGGGAAGTAAATTTTACATATTTCTTTTTAAACAAAAACAACATAAAAAAAAAACAGTATGTTAATTCGGATTAACCCTCCTTTACTCGGATGAAAGTTCATTTAACCCTAGCCCATACAAAATGCTCAGCATGGTGGGAAAATAACACAGCACATGACTCTGGACACATCACACCCACTATTTAGTCACAGCCTCAGGACTTTTACACATTTAGTGAAACATGGTGGTGGCAAAGTTATGCTGTGGGACAAGGAAGCTGGTAACATTTGATGGGAAGATGAATCAACCTTAATTCATCTTCAGGGGTTAGTTCACCCCTGAACTAACACCCAGTTAGTTCAGGGGTGTCAAACTCCAGTCCTTTATGGCCAATGCTCTACAACTTTAGATGTGTCCCTGGTCCAACACACCTGACTCAAACGGCTGAATTGCCTCCTGCGCAGGCGGTCATGGTCTCCAGAGTCCTGCTAATGACCTCATTGTTTGACTTAGGTGTGTTAAAGCAGAGACGCATCTAAAAGTTCAAGGACGCTGGACTTTGAAGCCTTGAGTTAAGGACCCCTGGGTTAGAGGCTATAAAACACAAGGACATAAACATAGAGCTGCAGTGGAACAAATGACTGGACAAACAGATGTAGCTTAGTTATATTTCCCATACAGTCCTATGCAGGACTGTATATGTTTCTATAGTGTTTAAAAATGAAAGAACGAAGTAAAAACATGATTATCTTGTATAAGTTAACAGTAGTTAGCCTAGTCAACCGGCCCCTTTGGTTTCAAACATGGAACAGGAACACAGTTTGGTTGAGTGTGATGTCATTTCTAGATCTAAGCATATAGCAGCCACCAGAACAGGTTCCTGGTTCCAGATCACCACTCCAGTTCACACAGAGGGATTCTGCGTGAACCATCTGTTCAAACCATCTCTTTCATTGATCACAATAGGCAAAGATCATGTCCCTGACTCCAAAGTCTCTCTGCCCGGCTTTCACAAAGAGTTTCGAAGAGGAGCTGCAAAAACAAATGAGGTGGATTAGCAGTGCTTGCCAACAGCCGAAGGTGTCGTCCAGGAGATGCTTCTGTGAAATATCATCTCAGCAGCCTGGACATTTTAGTTGTCATAATACAAGATGGCACTACCACCCACAACGAATCCATGAAGACAGTTGGATTATATTCACTACGGCATTTAAGTTTAGGCATCAAGTATTTCTGAACTGACTCTGGATCTCCAGTCTTACTAAGCTTGAGCTAATTTGCAAGTAATTAGTTCCTGCACAATTGTGCACTAATTAGTGTTGGCTGTTCACATAAAATCAAATTTGAAGACATTACAGTTTGTGATTAAAATGTGAAAACATTAAAGGCGTATGAATACTTTTGCAAGGCACAGACATGACATCTGTGGGTATCAGGTTATGTTTTGGAAAACCTGGAAGTATTTACTTCTTGTGAGAGCCCTAATCGTCATGCAAAACACTGATAATATCAAAGTGGACACGCCTCTTTAGTATTTGGCTCTCACTGTGCATCAATGACTTATTAACCCCTAACTGAGGTATTGCTCATGAGTATAGCAGCGTATGGGCCAAAGTACTTTTTCAGTAGCATTGCTGTGGGAAATGTAGTCAAATATTTGTAGGGTTTATAATGCAGACAAAGATTGCGATGGACAATGTGACGACAGGAACACAGCTCTGGAAGGAAATAATGAAATGGCCAGATTAAATATCAACACACGAGGTTTAGTGGACTTGAACCCTGAGTGAGCTTATGAAGGAAAGAGCAAATACTGGGTAATTTTTGAGGAAATCCTGTTTGTAGCTGAAATTGTGACTGTGAAGTAGTTACTAGAGAGATATTTCTTAGCAATCGTGATATGGTTTATGTTTGTAATGATAAAAGTCCAGATGACTCAAGAAAGCATGTGCTCAAATTCCTCTTTGTATCCATTACTCTCTGTTGGGTGCGTAAAAGCCAGATACTCCCTTCTATCTCATTTTAGAAGTAAAGTTTCCAGATTCTTTTGTCCACATGTAGTCAGACTATTTTCCTTTTCATTCAAGGCCTCTCCCTCTCTCTTACCGTGCCATTGGCTACTTGGCAGATTTACTGAGATTTCTGGGTGATTATATGGTGCAACCCAAATCTTTACACATGACAGAGCTTACTGTCGGTCCTCCTCACTCGCTCGTTATGTGCCTCTCAGCAAAATTATAATCAAGTCATGTACATAATTTTTTTTTTTTGCAACCATCAACAAATAAAAAAACCCCATATGTTTTGTCTCATCAATTTTGGTTTAAAATTGATGCAAATAGACTAGAGACACCCGTTGTTATTTATTTACTCAGCAAGCTGTTTCAAGCTCCACTTCTTCCGTAATTGATGTCTGTGCTGCATAGTAAGTGACAAAACAGCCTTTCTGTGTGTTTGGCAGGCCGTTCTGGCCACTTGGCTTTGTTTCGGGTTTTATGCTGGATCGTTCCCGAACCATCAAGCCACATTGACTCAGCATTGTTCGCGTCAGTCTGTGCGCTTCATCAAATCACTTCACTAGGTTGTTGGCAGCACACAGCCCAGTTTGGACTCGTTTTGTGGCGATAAACCACGGATGAAGCTCTTAGCGGCCTGGGTAGTCTGCTTTAAGTTTGAGCAAAGGTGTGTCGGCTGTATTTTCAGCCGGTGTTCTTGGAAGAGTGATCAAGTTGTTGCACTGAGGTAGGTACCACCTAACAGAAGGATGTAAGAACTTTTGCATGCGTGTGTGTGTTTATGCTACTCTATTCATCATAGCTGTTTGGAGAAAGTTTGTGTTCTCCGACAGCCCCTTCCTGTTAGGTCATCCAATTAAAAAAGGTCGGAAGACTATAAATGTCAGAGTGATGCTGTAGAATGTTTCCAAACACATTAAATACACTTTTTTTTCTTCATGTAAAAAAAGATTATTTTCTTGGGAGTTTTTGTTATGACTGAGCCTTATATTTTCCTTCTGACTGGTCTTGGCCTGACTCAGAAACTCACAAAGTTCCTAAAGTCTTTCCAACAACAAATTCCACAACAAGTGTTATGAAGGAACCCAAATATCCCTAAATCCATGAGTCACAGAGAATCAGGATTTTTCTTCCCCTTTTCTCTGTTTTATTAACTGCGTTATCTTTCTTTCTTTCATTCTTTTGGCAAGCAAACGCATAAATGATAACCGGAATAAAGTTTGTTACTGAAACTTGATTTTAAACAGTGCTGCTCTGTCATGCTAATGTTTACACACCGGCACAAAACCTTTGATTTCTGTCCAGCTTCTGTGTCGGTCTGGAGCTGAGCGGGGTAGTGGATCAGTAGAAACCCTTTGAAGTTATCCTTCCAAATTTGTTACGTCAGTCAAACTGAGCTTAGGATATGAATATTATTGAATGGCTAACTCCTGGTCAATCAGAAACTCAAAAATCCATGTATTTCTGGTCAGTAAAGCCACTGTACTTACCAGGGTATTCTGACAAAAACTTTCTTCAGGGTTGATGGTGCTGCTGAGTGAAAGGCTCAACAAAAACCTATGTGGGTTTGGGAAAGGGGTTTTCCTCCGTTTTGGAAAGGTTGTGCTTTAATTTACAGATGGCTCTACTAAGTTTCTACGCTGTTCGTATTAATCTGCAATATCAGTAGGATCTGTAAATTAAACCCTGAATGTTTGCTCTTTTTGGGATAAGATTTATTTCTCAGTCAGCTCAACAGTAAACATTGGAGTGTTGTGGCTGAGCTTCATCCCTCTGATACCCTGCACTGATTGGCTTTGGCTGAGATCTGACTTGTCCACCTCACTCTGCCAAGGTCGCTAATCTGCAAACATCGTCCTCTTGTGCCCTGACTGCGTGTTTGCGGTAATGGAAAGGATTGTAGGAGACTGATACTCTTTTGTTAGTTCATGTGCCAAAGTTAGTGTTTGTGTTCAATACATTTTAGTTTTCCATTCTGTCAGCAAATGGTGGACAATTCCACTAGAGGTTAATAGAGGTGCTCATTGGATAAGACATAACAGCAACAGCTAAGCTTCCTAGCAAACGGTTAGGAGATTTTAAAGAGACAATTCCCTTTTGCCCAGAAGACGTTTAAGTTGTTAATGAGATTGTTGTCACTAGAGACTGTTTGGTTAACAGTGATTTAGAGATGTTGGCCGAGACCAGCTCACGCAGATGGAGCTGTGTTGCATTTGGAGCCTTGCTCCTTGCCCTTTAAATGCTAAGAAGATATTGGATTATAAACTCACCTGGACAAATCTTTGTGTGGTGTAGGTCCTCTTTTCATTGTGCTTCAACAAATTGTAAACAAATATCTATTATTTCATAAGTTTTTATCCTTTATTAAGTTAAATATTGTCATTTAGCATAGTTGAAGTGTTTCTTAAAGAGGTTAGTCAAAAAAAAAATTAAATGGTAGTCAAACAGCGATACATTTCTGAATTATTAATAATCATTTTTTAAATATGAAAGTTGAGATATTTTAACAGCGGTATAACATGTTGCAATTCAGAATGCCAAGTTAGATTGAAGAAGATGTGTTTGTGAAAACATCTGGGTGAAGCACATCATTGTTCTGGTGTGGATGACATTGTTCACACAGAACTTTAAATAGTCATCTGGCAAGTAGAGTGAATCCAGTCTGTTCTCTCAAATCGTCCCCACAGAGCTTCTTCCTGCTGTGGTCACCAACCCGACGGTTCTTTTGACCACAGGTTACCGTGAAACAACAGTTTTATAGCAGTGCTTTGCTTTGTCAAGAGAAAGTCTTGCAGTGATGTTGTTTACATCCCAAACAAAAGCAAATGCATTTAGAAAGAAGGAAATTATGTTCACTGATCAATTTTAAACCTTTTTGTGGACATTTTCTTGGTTTGAGCCTCGTTTAGCTACACATTCACTTAACTCGAGTCAGCGATAGTGGAAACACTCTAGATAGCAAAATTTGTAATTCAGGGACTGGACTTTGAATTTCTCACCTGGATAACATGAAATTAAAAAATAAATAAAATGGACTATGGTCTGGGCAGATATAAGTGGGCACTCCATGGAGATTTAGGGACATTCAACCAAGTTTCTTTGAAAAATCCTAACATCTAACTGCAGGAGTTTTCCAATTCAAAAAAAAAAACAAACAAACAAACACTTATTTTGATTTATTAACATCTAACATTGTTTAAAATTTTTTAATTCATTTAGGTAGTTGCCAGGAAGTACAGTTTTGCTCAGTTTCCAGAAAATGTATATGTTCAAAATATTTTCTCTGACTTCTGGTTACTGGTTGGGTAAAACCCTTTATAATCAACATTAGTGTTTATAATCTTTAAATCATAATGACAGCAGAACCGGCCCAAATGACCCTCATCAAAGGTTTACATAACTCATTTCTTAATTCCAGGTATTACCCATTTCAACTTAAGGAAACACCAAGTTTTTAAGGTAGTTGGTGGAACAGATTATCTTCGTGCCAAAAAAGCCTCCAGTTCTTGTATATTCTTGGGTTTGCTGCATGTTCTCTGAATAATGGCCAAAATCTCAAATTCAGCCAAGATATTTTAACTTGTGAGCACAAATGGTTCCTCTCAGCTTGTTTCATTTGTAGCCGGTAGCCTGTTCACTCTTATTTGTGCTTTGCTAAAGTGGCTGATTTGACTGTTTTGACCTTTACCACAACATAAGGAAATCCTTGCAGAGTGATTTATGACTGTCAGTATTTTAAAATAGACTATTCACAAGGCCAACCAAAACGGTAAAGGAGACAGTGTGTAGGTAAATCTCTGTACACTGAAAATATCATTGGGGCTTTTAGCTGTAACTCACTCCAAACTTTATGAATTATAGCATTCAGGAGAAACATTGCAGGAACGATAAACCTCGGTAAGACGAACATCTGAGAGGAAGTTTGTAACTGATATATCTTATCATTATCAGTACACCTATTTGTCTGCTATTCGACTGATTTATTGAGCTAGTGTGGCTTAAGCACACTATTTCAGTCACATTTCAGGCATTGCTTGCTTGCTGCGGTAGCTCTGGGTCCTCGCACTAGTGTCTTACCATTCACTCTCTCTATCTTAGTGAGTGCCTCTAGTTGACCTTCCTCTCAGTGTGTACAGGCCAAAGCCTGAATAATATATGAGTAGCCTGGAAAGAGCCGAGCGCGAGTCGTGTATCTCTGCTGGAAGTTAACGAAAGGCAACGGGAGAGATATTAATGTCCGCCGTTGCTAGAGTTTGAACTTGCACTGAAGGGGAGTGTCGCTATGCAGATTTTAACCACTTCTTGTGTCTTGATCTCGTCCCTGTATGGGACAGCCATCGCAAGCAAGCTTCAGCTGGCGTCAATCATTAATGAAAAGCATCCCACCTTCTCAAGTTTCTTTAGGAGAGACGAGGGAGAGGAGGGAACTCGGGGGTTAAAGATAACAATGTTAGAAGTGGAGAACTCATGCATTCTGCTGTAACGTAGCACTCACATTTTTTTCTCCCTGCCCACAGACTGGATCACAGAGGAGCAGCTAATTACAGCCTCTGTACTGTCAACACATCACCTGAAGAATGTTCATCAACAAGAAAAAGCCATGTAGCATTTACTAAGCACCTCAATTGGATTCATGAAATAATCTGGTACTGGAGAGGACATGGTCTGAATTCTGCATCTGTTGTCATTGAGCATCCCAGTTCTGTCTGCATAATGCACATGTTTATTCATCGCCAGTGGACTCTAAAATCACTGCCCCCTGTTGAATCCAGTTTTTGGACTTTATCAGCCCCAAATTAAACACTTTGGGGAAGGGAGCGAGTCCACAAAGCTGAGAGTGTGTGTTCCATCTTCCTCCTCTTTTCCTCTCCTTGAATGTATTATTGCAAGATCATCTACAGCTGAAATGGAAAGGACTGAAAGTTTGCAGAAGCTAGCACTTTTTCCTTTCGGTAATAAGTCAACAGCATTTCATTTTGGTCCAATAAAAGTTTTTATATAAAACGTTGATAGAATCCCAATTGTAATCATGGAGATATTTAGAGAAAAAGCAACTTGACTTAATTTATTTTTCATCAGTTTCCTTTTTTTGTAATTTATTTATGTGCTAAAAGTCTAACCCCTATTTTATGTTCTGCTAAACACTGTGATGTAGTTCTTTGACCCTAGAGAAGACTAATATAATATTTTGAAAGCCAAATCACTAAAAGAATCTAGTCTTGGAGAACGAGCTGAACACAGGCACGAAAAGGCCGGAACCCTGGTCACCATGGCAGCAGATCACGGCGAACTGCTGGCCGAGATGGCCACGGTCGGGCGTCTGAGTGCCACGGAGCGCCTGAAGCACGCCCAGAAACGCCGCGCCCAGCAGCTGAAGGCTTGGGCGCAGATGGAAAAGGACGCGTCCCGAGGATCCAGGGCCAAAGCGGACAAGAAGAAGAAGCGCACCACAAAAGTGAAGTTCCCCAACTCTGTCACGCTGTTGGAAGCAGCGGCCCGCAATGACGTGGAGGAGGGTGAGAAGTAAACACACACACACGCACTGCCTTTCGAAACTCTGCATGTCCTTCAAAGGCTTTCACATTTTCTGACATTACAATAACACACTTCAATGTATTTAACAAGGATTTTATGTAATGCCATAGCTTAAAAGTACTTCTTGGAAAACATGCAAATAAGCATCTTGGGTGGAATACTAAACCTTTACATCAAAGTATCTCCAAGTGTCTCCTAATCATAGTCCAGACCTAAATTGATTGAAAAAAATCCCGTTGGGACTTGAAAATTGATGTTTACAAATGCTCCCAAATCAATTTTGGCTGCACTTCAGCTATTCTGCAAAGAAGAATGTTTAAACATTTCAGTCTCTGAAAGTACAAAGTAGATAGAAATGCTAAGGATGGCTCTCTATGGTATTTAATCAGGGGAACCAAAATAACATATGCACTCTACTCTTACCAGTTTTGTATTTGTGTAAAAGATTGAAAACTGTGTGCTTTTTGTTCCTTTTTCCCAGTTATGCTATAGTTTGTTTTGGTCTGTCACATACAATCCCTATTGGTTATTGTGAGGGATTCTACCTCACGACAAATCAGGATCATTTTCCCGAGAAATTATAGATTCTTTTGCAATAAGCTCCAAGTTTTGTTTTCAAGAGGTTTACTGTTGGCTGCTTGGAATAAGGCATTGATCTCTATCCAGAAACAAATTTGTTTCTGTTTAGGACCCACAGACATACCTTACATAAATCCACCCTGATTAAATACAGGCTTTCTTCCAGTGGGATCTTGCGTGTGTGTGTGTGCGTATGTTTGTTTTTATGTGTGCTTTTGCTTTTTCTAGTGAGAGAGCTGCTCAACACCGGTGTCAGCCCAGATCTGGTCAATGAGGACGGACTGACAGCCCTGCATCAGGTAGAGAGGCAGCAGGTTCAGGAGTTTGCTGATTGTAGTATTTGGAATTGTCAAAACTTAAACACACTACTAAATATGCACACAGACCTACTTTGCTTTAGGGTAACAATAAAGGTTCTGTCACAAACAGAAATTGCATGTTTTCAAAATGTTTGTGACTTTCCAGTGTTGTGTCTGTCTGTGATGTTTGCACCCACCACGTCTTTTTTTTAAGACTTTATTATGTCTGAATCTTCTACATAACTTAGTTTATATAATGACAGATTATTCAACTTTTTGTTCATTTTTGTTCAAATTTTAGAAGACTAGAATTTCTGGCCAGATTTAGAGAAAGTTAAGGGATTTCTGTGATTTTAACTCCAATGGCCTCCAATGGTTTAACAATTTAAACCATTTGTAATTTATTCTCCCTATAAGTTGATGTAAATTTCTGCCTCTTCTCACTCATGAAAGGAGTGTTTGTCAGTACAGAGAACTCTTTATAAAATCAGTCACAGCTGAGTTTTTAGGAAAAACTTTGTATTTGCACAGCAGAAGACTGAGCCATTCATGTAAATCTTTCCTCTGAAGTAAGCTTAGTCTTCATTCAAAATCTAGCAATGATTTATCCATGTATGCATTTCCTTGTTTGCTTTTTATCCCAGTGTTTTTCTTCTTCTTCTCAGTGCTGCATCGACGACTTTGTGGAGATAGTTCAGTGCCTGCTAGATGCTGGTGCCTCTGTGAACGCCTGCGACAGTGAGCTGTGGACGCCGCTGCACGCTGCTGCCACCTGTGGACACACTGGACTAGTGCAGCTCCTCATTCAGGCGTGCGTCACTTTTCCCTTCCATTCTGAAAAATATCCTCAAGTTGTTGTTTTTTTTCTAATTTCTTTTAGCCTTTTACTCCTCTCTCTTTCTCTTATGTATTTATTTATTTTTCATTTTCAGAGGATAAACTGATTGAGAGACCTAAGATATGCAGTATGCAAAACCAGTGCAAATATGGCTGCAGTTTGACTTTGAAAACATCGCTTTGTACACGAAGGTGTGCCACTCTTACCCTGAAAAATTTGCATGTCTATTTCCTTGTAGTGGAGCCAACCTGCTGGCCGTCAATGCAGATGGCAACATGGCTTATGACCTCTGTGAGGATGAGGCCACACTGGAGCTGCTAGAGATGGTTATGGCTGAGCAGGGTCAGTAATTGTCAAATCTTTTGCAATGCAGGGGGGGAGAGAAAACGTTAACTGTTAAGCATAACGTTTTGGGGGAATTTTTCAGGGATAACTCAGAAGCGGATAGATGAATGCAGAGGAGCGAAAGAGCTGACCATGCTTGCTGACGTCAAGGCTTTGATTAACACCGGAGCAGATTTAAATGCACAAGACAACAATGGAGCGACCCTGGTGAGAGGCAGATGAAAATAATTGTAACACATGGTACACAAGTGATAGTCCACCAGGGTGTAGTCTAGGAAAGCGCTCACTACACATGCACCCTGAACCTGAATCAGTAGGATCAGACAACAGAAGGCAAAACAAAGGGATGTGAAAAGCATCAGTCATACAGAATGCATAACTCAGTCATTTACAGGAAACCATTAAATTAATGATTGGGTTAATCACATAAAGTGCTATTCTGAAAAGAAAAAATTATATTCGATGTTTGAACCTTTTTGTAAAGTAAATTAGTCAGAAGCCGTGTAACAAGAGTAAAAAAGGGTTTGGACGAACTGCACTGTTTCAGTGCAATAAGAAGCATCCAGCACTACAGTAGCTTTTTTTTTTTTTTTTGTCCATTTCAGCTCCACATAGCATCTGCCAATGGCTACATGTCTGTAGCAGAGCTGCTAGTCGACCAAAGGGCTCAGCTGGAACTGAAAGACTCTGACGGATGGACGCCGCTTCACGCCGCCGCCTGCTGGGGACAGGTTCGCTCTGCCGTCGACCTTGAGTAACTTTGTTTTGACCTGTCTTACCGGGTGTCATTTGTTTTCACTCGTTTCCAGATCCAAGTGGTGGAGCTGCTGGTGGCTCACGGAGCCAATCTGAACTCCAAGTCAGTTTTAGATGAGACGCCGCTCGGTGAGATCGGAGGCTTTGTGTGGGCATTTTGTTATGTTTCTCTGAAATAACTCGATGCCAGATGTGACGCGTTGCTCCGTCTGCAGATGTGTGTATTGATGAGGAGGTCAGAGGCAAACTGATGGACTTGAAGAACAAACGCGACGCCATCATGAAAAGTCAGGACAAGCAGAAGGGCACGCTGCAAAGACGAGTGTCCAGCACCGGGAGCAGAGGGTAAACGAGGGAATTCAGGGACACTAGAGCAGGGATTTATTATTATCAGGTGTTTTACCTGATTCCCGTAACATTTGCCCACACAGGAAGGTTGTGCGTCGGGTCAGCGTGAATGAACGCTCCAGTCTGTACCGCCGGGAGCACCACAGGGAGGCCATTGTGTGGCAGGAGCCGGCGACCACGCCTGAACCGCAGGACGACGACGAGGACAGACAGACTGACATCGAGCTGCTTCAGCATGCTCACATGGTGACTGAAAACGGCTCCTTTATCTCATCCACAGTTTGACTTTAGGGCGGCAGCCAACGGTTACTTTAGTAATCGATTGATCCGTCGATTATTCTGACGATTAATCAAATTTAAGAATTGGTACATTCTGTAGATTTTTCATTTAACTACTCCATCTTATTTATGCATTAGAAACCCATCTAAAAGTAAATATGAATAACTTTTGTTAAATAAGAAAATAAATATTCTGCTCCCTGAAGTACAATAACTACAGCATTCCTTTAATGAACGCTTTATAATCTGGAGGAAATTGTGCATCTGCAGCTAAGAAATACTCCCAACAATGTGAAAAACTCGGCCCTTTCTGCTCGACTTACTATCAACACGTTGCAGAGGTGATCCAGTGATTGTTATTTGGATTAATTAGTTAATAATTGGGTAGCAAACGGTGCTTGATAAGAGATTTCTTTTTACATAATTTGAACAGAGTGAAGCTAAAGCTATGTCATTTCAGGAGCTCTGCGTAGAGCTTATTTATAAAGGTTTTGTTTTTTTATCTTAAATGCAAAATTTATATACATTTCATACATCTAAGATGTTCTTTGAACAAGCTGCAAAGACGAGTATCGAACACTGGAATACTCTGATTCTATAAACTCCAGATAACTATTGATTGATTACTAAATTAGTCGATGATTGTTCCAATAATAGGTCCATCACAATGATTCTGATTAAGCTCTGTTTGACTTGATGAACTAGTTTGTTTTTTTATTTTATTTTTAAGTTTACTAAAAGTTTCCATTGTTTTCTCAGGTTGCTACCGGAGCAGCAATGACACGCGTGGAGGAACTGGAGGTTGCCGACAGAAAGATCGCGTCATCCAGCGTGGGGAACGGGGAGACGTCCGTGTCTCTGGCTTCCTCTGTGCCTGGCGAGCTGTGGAGCGGCGGGGGCCGCATGGATCGCAGCGGCGCCTACGAGCTCAGTCCGCCGTCCGGGCAAGCGGAGGGCGAGGGCGCCGACAGCATGACTCGGGAGAAATCGCACCACACCCTGGCCGACCTGAAGCGCCAGCGCGCCGCTGCCAAGCTCAATAAGTATCCCGCGCCCCCTCCCCCGCTGCCCTCCACCGCCGAGGTGGAGGAGCCTCCTGTCGCCGCGACGACCCCTCAGGTTCAGCCAGAAATCCAAACGATCCCGACTCCAGAGCAGCCGTTGTCGTCTCCCAGTCAAGTGTTCTTCACCCCGGCCAGCGGAGATCCTCCCTTGCTGAAACTGCGGGCCCCCGAGGAGGAGCAGACCAACAAGGAGCCATGCTGTGGCCTCATGTAGACGCTCTCTACTGCCTGCAGGGGGCAGAAGCACTCCAAAGTGACAAACACCTTTAAAAACAGACTTTTGATTGCAATGCATCACTGATGACTATCAGTTTAGGCCTCATGCTATCTGATCTCTCAACAGAACGTGTAATGACTACGTTGGCTTAGAAATTCAATATGTAGATTCTCTAAAAAATAATAAACCACAGAGATAAAGCTTCTGACTCACTAAGGAATCAAAGTGCCTTGCAAAATCAGTTACTACATTTTTTTCACCTTTTATCAAACCACAAACTTTACTGTATTTTATGGGGATTTCATCTGATGTGCACTACCTTGTGTTGGCCTAACTACGTAGTGGATAGAAAAGCATAAATGGTTGCCAATGTTTCTTTCTTTTTTTTTTCTTTATTATATACAAATGCAGATCTGACCTTTGGCTCGTATTTGTACACTTTGTATGACCAGCTTTTGCTGTTTTTGCAGCTTTTATCTCTACCAGCTTTGCACATCTAGAGATTTGTCTTTTTCACATTTTTCACTACAAATTAGCTCGAGTTCAGTTATTCTGACGCATGAAGATGCTTTTTCGGAGTCACTGCTTTGTTGCTTTGGCTGTGTCTTCAGAAGTTGAATTTCGACCCCAGATTCTGGTTTCATGGCATTGATAGTTGTTGGTTTTTTTTCTACCTTTTTCTGTGTTTAGGCTCATTCATCTCCCCATCAATCTGACCAGCTTTTCTATCCCTGCTGACAAAAACTATTCCCAAAGCATCATGCTGCCACCACTATGTGTCATGTTAGTTTTTCTAAATGCATAGAACAAAGGGTTGCATTTTGGTCCTCCTTCCAATAACAGTTTTTTCTTACCAGTCTTTCATAAAAGGAAAGATTAGTTGAGAGCTGCCTTGTCAACAGATTCTCCCAACTTCATGTTCATGATGCTGTTTATCTAATATTCTCTTAAGTCTCTTTACTCAACAAGCGACTGAAAGCACTTGACCGCACTGAATTTTGTGTAAGGATATTAGATTAAAAGGAGCTGAGCACAAAATCAAACCACACTTCTTATTTTATTTGTACACACATTAAAGACATTCATTGTTTTCATTCCGTTTCTGTTGTAAATCACATAAAATCCTATCAAAATGCATTTGTTTGTGGTTTTAATGTGACAAAATGTGAACGGGTTGCAGGGTGCAGGACATGACTTTAATAAATGGTGATGGTATCAACTTTGTAGGGAGTTGATATTCTTGATTTGGCCAAAACTACTGTAATATGTGATGCAAAAACTCACTGGTGGGCGCTTTCCCCATATTTTTCTTTTTTCCCCATTTTATTTTTTTTTACGCTTTCTTAAATACTTTACCCTCATTCACAAATATTTGGGAAAGGAGAATTAAAGTACATCTTTAAAATCATGATTTGGTTTACATTTTAATTTTAGATACTCGCATATATTCTACTTCTAGGCATGTTTGCAATGTTAAGCATTAAACTGTGTTTAATGCCTAACATGCCTAATGGCCAAATGTCTCACTAGGCTACAGCATGGCCTAGTGACACATTTCCCTCTCAGATATTTATTCTAAAACATTCGAAATGCGGAGGAACATTCCCATTGCACGTTTTCAGGTGAGACTGGGCTGCCCCGTGCCAATAATGGTTTGATGTCCAGTTTGTCTATTTCACCCATTTTCTTCTTCTTCGTTCAGCCTACATGCTCCAGCTTTGCCCCCCCCTGCTCGGAGGCATTTGTTTCTGTTGAATGTAAAGTTTTGAACTCAGGAGATCTCCAGTATCCAGTTTGCCTAGAAATGTGAGTCGGCATAAACATGAAGTTGTCTACTACTTAAACTAATTTCTCTTGATACGGAAAGAGGTCTTTTTTAATGACTGGTACAAAGTATGTGGATACATTAAAGATTTTATTTTATTTTTTTTAATGTTTGGATTTCTGAATGATTTACAGCTTTGTATTTTGAATTTAGAAAAATGCTTGTTCTTTAGCATTCAAAAAATTTACATTTCAATATTGTAATGGTGCAATTTGTACATTTATTTTCCTTTGATATGAAATTATTTCTCTAAGTCAATGTACAATTTACATTTGTCAAAACCTATTCTCTGTTCTTCTATCAGTATTTGTTTTTCTACTCTCAGAATTTAATCACATTATTTATTTGTCTTACTTTGGAGGGGGATGGGGGGGCGAACATCTTTTAAAGATGATGACATGAAGGAAAAACTGAAAGAAAAATATTTTTGCATTCACACAATGATCAAAGAGTTACTTAATTGTCACATTGATAATCAGAGTTTTGTGCCTTCATTTGGTGGCTGGTTTGCAGTTGGTGCACAATGACCCACAAATGACGTCGGTGAGCTTTGAGATTAAATATGATGGACTTGATGTGCATTTTAATGTACCGTTTACTGTAAAACATCACTGTTTTATTTTTATTGATTGAAAAAAAAGACCTAAATACATTGTTTTCACAAATTAATTTTGTATTTCAATATTGCATAAGCACTTAGCACATCTGGATAGCATTCCTACAGATTACTAAGATTATACATACTATACTTCATCCCAGGGACTAAATACGATGTAGAAAAATTCTGTCTTTCTCACTTTTTAGAATTATCAGACCATTTGTTTCTTCTCTAAATACAGCAGATTGTTGTCATTTTGCTCCGTTCCTCTTGTGTAACTCAATTTTCTCTGCCCATAATTCTATATGTGCCCAATATCGTGTTGACCACTTGAAATCATTGACTTTGTCATCCTTAACCCATTTTGTATCTTATTTGATAGTTTCCTTAGAGTTAATGACCATTTGGAATAATAATCTATTTAATGTTTTGTAATGTCAATATTTAAATATTTTGATTCTTTCCTCAACTTCTATTTTGTGAGGTGCACCAGTTCCTCTTGCAGCAAAACAACCACACAACATGATGCTACTGCGCCCATGCTTCACAGTAGAGATGGTATTCTCTGACTTGCAAGCTTATTTTTTTTCTCTCCGTACAGTCACAATGTCTAGTTTCATCAAACCACGCACCACAAGACTTCCTTCTTTTTTCTTTTTTTTTTTTTTAGTTTTAGTTTTTGTCTTTGCTTACCAATGAATCTGTTTTTATGTTATTTTGGATAAACAGCTTCTTCCTTGCTGAGTACATAGTATTTTAAGCCAGGCTGGTGCCAATCTTGGCACCCAAGGATGAACCCGATAAGGAGTTCCTAGGATACCTTGGAGTTTTGGTGAATTTTTTTAGATTTTCTTTCAAGCAATATTCCTTCAGGGGGCAGTATTGTGCGTTTTCCAGACACATAATGCAATTTCATAGCATAGTCAAGTAACGTAATGTTACTTTCAGTTGTCATAAGAAAGCTGCATGTCAAATATGACTTAATAGAAATTTTATGTCCTGATTTAAGGACATGGAATTGGGCCTCTGTCTCTTTAAAAACTGACTCTTTTTTAATTTACCCCTTCAGGAAGTTTTCCTTTAAAAGTTTTTTTTTTTTTTTTTTTTTTTTTACCAGGATTGCACTGAGAAGTAGTTTGTATAGTGAACTCAGCACATGTGCAGCTCCTCCAGGTGTTTGCTAATTGCTGCTGGTGAGTCTGATGGAGAATCCTGCAAACAGGAAAAGTATAAGTCGCACAAAAACAGGTTGCGTCTTCCGATAAAGTGTATTTAAACACCTGGTTCCTACTGCAGTTAAGTTTCTCATGAGCCCCCTCTGCCCCTCCTCCTCTTTTCATTTTACTCCTTCATCACACTGGGTACAGCTCAGATGTCACTTCAGTCTGTTTTGAAGTGCCTGCCAGTGCAGCCATAGATAGACATGAAGAAAACAGGACTTTGAAAGCATTCAATGTAAATGAAACAGCTTTTTTTTTTTTAGCCTCAACTTGAAATATTTTGCACCAGAATCATAAACGCTCAGAAGATCGTAGCACTCCGACATGGTTTACAGCAGTCCTGCATAGTTTTGTGTCATAATGGAAACCGGTTTATGTTCAGTTTTGGCTTCTGAGCTCCTTAGCGCTGCTCAGTTTTTACTTTTCTTACAGCTGACCTTGACCATAACCTATTATGTTAACTTGGTATTTGATGCTACCAGAATGCATGCTGCGTGACACTCAAACGTCAGCCGGACATCACATGCTATAGGACGTGCCCTGTTTTAGTTGGCGATATCAAATGTCTTTCCTTAGACTTTTCCAAGATGTCTCTGCAGAGTCCTTCTTGCACGAATGCCGATTTGATAATCTGATCGTTATAGCAACTTGTTTTTCTGGTTTTAGTTTTGTTTTATAGCTCTAAAATCTAGTTGCTAGATATTGCTAACAGTTATTTCAGGGTTCGGTAAATTGAGTACTGCAATTTAAAAGTATAAAAATGAGGTCTTTTCTCAAAACCTCTAAAATACTTAGTATTGTTTCTGTACCCATTTCTGTACTGTAGTTACAGCTTGTGTAACTCCACAGAAAATGATAAACTACCTTTGTTGTGACGCTTCTTTACAGCTATATGTGGTATTTCAAGGAAAGTGAATGGACAAGAAATAGGGTATTTTATTTTATTTTTTTTCCAATAAGATTTTTAAGATCATGTGGTGGAAAACTAACAGAGAGGGAGATTTTGCTGAAGGTTTGAAGAATGTGACTAAGATCCAGTACTGACTTGTTTCTGCCAGGGATGTTAATGAAGAACAGAAGTTTCATCTACAGGAGGAACTACAGAGAGGTCAAACATTGCTGGGGTTTTTGGAACTGGTGTTATATTTACTTGGGTTACACATATATAATCTGATAAGTACAAATGTTTTTTTAATGCAGTGTCTGACATTGAACACTTTCACTTTACAAAATTTAAATATATAGACAAACATATTGTTCAAAAAATACATGTGAAAGTAGTTTTGGTGCAAATACAGCAATATTATGTAAAATAAGGGTTTGGATGAAATTATTGCTTTAAAAACAAGTGGCTAAACTACAACCCTGCTGTAGACTGGATGTAACTTTATGTATGAGACGCTGTTTGTCCTGCCGTACCATTGCAATGAGTTTTAGTTAATTAACAACTCTGCTTATTACAGAACACATAGAGAACTTTGGTTGTGGTCCAAGTGAATCCCTTCCTGAGAAGTATCCTCTTCAGTTTTTAATCTAATAAGGAATAAAATGTAATAGTTACACTACTGTAATTACATTTAATCAAATTTGCTTAAAAATGTAACGTGTACATTGTAAATCCATTTTGCAAAGTATCGTCCTCCTCTGATTCTGTTAAAAATATGAACTATCTAACCAGAAAAGCTGGTCAGAGATGGTGCATGTTACTATTGTATAGTGTCATTTATTGACTTCTTTCTTTCATTTTTATTAGAGTTCATTCTGTTAAAAAGTATGGAAAGTGTGGCCTTATTATGGAGGCATCCTAACCAGATGACCAAATCATCTCATGTGACTCGGTGTAGATAACGTAACTCTAGAGAGCCATCTTTAGCACATTAAGGCTGCTGGCTGAAGCAACTTAAAATCAGCTGCTTTTGTATTTGAATTGTACAGATCTTATTTTTATCTGTTAAATAATGTATTATTGTTTTTTATTAGAAAACATAGGTAGTGGAAAGTTAATGTGTCTAATTAATAATACTTTTTGCCAGCAGTGATACCGGGCCATGGCCACCCTTTCAAATCTTTATGGGCGCACCCCTGCTACATCACAGTAATAGAAAACCGAGAGGAAAAAGCTATTATGAATCTTTTCCCCGTTTTCTCCCATATTGGTTTATAAGAAGGGCATTTGGGGGTTTAAAGCAAAGTTTTTCATCATCCTTCCCTAAAGAGCTTTAGTCTGAGACTTTTCACTGAATTGTTGACAACAGAAAGGATTTATCATTCATAATTAATGGTTCCACTTAACAGCTAAGAGCGAAAGCAATTGCCATGCAAATGTATTTAAATGAAGCAAATGGACGGGATAAGTTGCTCCACCTTTCATAAAAATACGCAGGTGTCTTTAAGTATATCGCTGATGTCACCCCTGTCTTCACGATGCCAAATTTTCTTGGTTACCGAACAACGCAGCAAAGCAAAGCGTTCGCCCTGCATGTGAAAATGATGTTTTTCTGTAGGATATTTCATGCCGCATTCAATGAGCTGGGACGGCATGGAGAGGATAAAACGGAAAGTCTTCGTCCTTGTTCGGGTGACCCGAAACAACTTATATTGTAAGCACCGGTGTTTGTCAGCGGGTGTGGATATAGAACTTGCTTCTTTTCCCTTGATTTTGTCGATGTTACGTCCGTAAAGATAGATTTTCCTAAAGCCCTTGAACGTACCATTGGCAGGCTCCGTTCAGAAACCGAAGGGAGGAAAGTCCAACCAACCCGCGGACGGAGGCGTGGCGGCCCGGTTGGGAATATGAGCACCGGGAAGCTCCGAACTCTCTCCAAGACCCCGAGCTGACTTGAACTTTGTTTTCCCCGCAGAGCAGCTGGTAACCAACGATAATTTTTTTTTATCTCCTCTTCTGCCGCGACCAACTTCTGTTTATTATCGATAACTTTCATTTCTTCTTCTTCTTCTCCTTCTTCTCCTTCTTCTTCTCTTCTTCTTCTCTAACTCTAAAAATAAATAAATATATATATTTTTTTAGAAAAGCCTTACAGTTTGAGGCGCTGACAGAAAGCGGGGTGAGCACAAAGCAGCCAGGATGTCCCAGGAGGCAGTGAACGGGGTGCCGTGTCGGGGGAAGGTGCTGACCGTGGAGAACATGAACCCCAACGTGAAGCGGGTGGAGTACGCGGTCCGCGGCCCCATCGTCCAGCGGGCGGTGCAGATAGAGAAGGAGCTCCGAGAGGTAAACTGAAAACAGAGCCGAACTGTCCGTCAGAAACAAATGAACCGGCGCTATAAAAGTTGGTTTTATTTGCATAATGCAGAGTGTGAGTGTTTATGTGCTCCGGCTTTTCTACGACTGCCTCTTGCGCGCCTCTTACGCACCTGTTGGGAATTCCCCTTTACATTTGAAGATATTATCCAGCAGTGGTTTCCATCAACCAACTACTCACTAACAGTAATATAATATGCACTTTCAGTGCAGTGTTTTACAGAAATAATTATATATAAAAAAGCTTTTCTTCAGCTGCGCAGACGAAGAAAAACGAAAGAGTAACGGAAAACACCGCAGCAGTGAAGAGACTGAGTGATTCGATATACATTCTGATGTATTAGAGGTCTGTTTTTTGAGTTGGCATAAGGCTTATGCTTACTAATTGATCCAGTTTACGGTCTGGTGAGGTTTTAAAGCTGATAATCTTTTCAACTTTAAGCTTCAGGTTTGAATCAGTCACTGATATGAGCTGCTCAAGGGAAAATTGGCGTATTCTCATCTGTGACTGATTGATTGGTGCATCTCCAACCTCAAGGCATTATAGATTCTGCTGTTAATGCTGAAGCTAAGCAAACAGTGACAATAATGATCTTCTTAAGAACTTTTAACCCTTACACATCTGTTTATTTAATTATTTATCTGATTTTCTTTTCAACTCATGAAGTTAGTATAAGCCGTAATATGGTTTTTTTTATCCAGAGTAATGGTCCTACATGCAGCTGGAAATCTCCTTACTTCAGTTTTTTTATATAAATGATCTCTCTCTCTCTCTCTCTTTTGGATCAAGCAATGCTTTTTTCCCTCCCTTATTTCTTCCCTCTGGGTTTGATTGGAATGATGGTGGTTCTGTGGGCTGTAAGTACGGAAGGCAAAAAGTGCCACCTATCCAAGAAATTGTTATATAATTTTATAATTATACATATATATAGTAATATAATTGTAAAATTCTATAATTATTTTTTACAAGACATAAAAAATTAAATAAATAATATCCCAACTTAATTGTTCAATTTGAAGTCAAGTTTTATATTCAAAGTGTAGTTTTCCAAATGTAAAAAAGAAAAAAAATATATATATAATTGTTTCTCTAACAGTAACTATCACTATAGACCAATCATCTTGACTAGAGCAGCATCATAAAGCTGGCAGATAAAGACCTGTTATGTGTTAAAATAAAACATATTAATAACACATTTAAATAATAAAATGTTATATTTTATTTATGAATGTATATTTTTTTATCCCTTTTCACTAAGTAGTAACACATTTCTTTGTAGTGTTCTGTTTCATTTATTTACAAAATCGTGGCACTTCACACCCTCCATAGTATGCCGATGTGTGCATGGTGTTGTTAACGAATGAGACTGACGTCAAACGTTTGTTTTGTTGTTTTGGTGAAGGTAAAAATGACACATATAATCTGCATGAAACATATCAACTTGTTATTTTTGTTTATTTGTTTTTTGTTTTTTCAACTTGCCTCCTTTTACTGCAGTTCCACAGAAGACAAGTAAACACACCCGAAAGAGGAATTTAAAGTAAAACTGCAACAAAAATGGAGAAAAACTTTAAAACATTCAAACAGATATAGTTGGCTTATGTGATGTCATCAGAGGCATGTCTGTGTGAAAACTTGCTTCATGTAGGTCTTCATCTTTATTTGCACCAAAAAAGCATAACAAATAGAATAAAAACATGATCATGACATCTTGAGGCAAAGTATATCTCAGTTGATCGATTTTACAGACGTTTGGCTTGTAGCTTTAAAATAAACAGCTTTTGAAAACAGTGACAAGCTTAACAAAACATAGTGTCTTCTGTTCCATATCTGATTAAAAAGTGAAGACTCATTCGTTTTTTAGACAGTTTAGTTTTTGCTGACTTCCTCTGCGATTAGCAACAGGACTGGAATAGCAGGTCGTTGTTTTTCAAGTCCCAGCCTGTGCTCTTTTGCTTGTATTACATTCCAACAGGGGCGTTATTGATCTACTGGAGGCAAGGTAGGCAGGTTAGATGTGATGGGTTTTTTTTACACACCGTCTCTCTCTCTCTCTCCTCTTTCTTGAGACGTGATCAGCTGCAGTGGATAGCTCTGGCTGGTTTTGAGTGCATTTAGCTCTCCTTTTGTCTGACTTGCCTGCAGGATTCTGAGGACGTGTGCATTGAGTAGCTTTGTTACATAAGATGAGCATTCTCTGTCCTCTTTTGTGTCTCTGGGCTTACCCGCTCAGAAGAAAGAGCCTGCTGGGCCCCTCTGGGCTCCAGAGGCTCAAAACAAGCAGCTCTGATGAAAGTGTTGCGCTTCTCGGCTGTCCACTTGTTTATCTGCGCTCATAACCGGGACGGATCATGTCCTTGTGCAGCTGACAAAATAATTATCTCAGAAGCAGAGTGGCTTGTGTAAGACATCTTAAAAACCAAATCTAAGGTGGTTTTTTTCTGTTTTTTTATTTCCAGAGGGGTCGGAGGGTTTGTATTGCAGCAGTTGTCGAGTCATCTGCGGGTTTGCTTCCTGTCAGATCTGCTACTGGAACACTTTTACTGGTGGCTCAGCAGATTTAATGCATTTGTGCTTTTGTGCACGTGTGCTGCTGATGACCCTTATGAATCCTTACGCAGACATCTGGCATGACACTGCCTGTTCTGGTGACAGCTAATTCAGGCTTGGATCTCAGCTTCTGGCAAGTCTGGTGTTTTCTGTCACAATGGCTGAGCATCATGCGAGCAGGAGCACAGGAAACATTAACTTTTCTGGTGAACGTAACGACTCCACGCACGTCTCTGTTTTCGTTTCTTTGAGTGACCTATACCTGATTCTGCTTCGTTTTATTACCATCTTAGTGAGTGCATGGTCCTTGGAGAATTGTCCTTGGAATGAACAGAATTTTCCAGTTTGCATAAGCAAGTCCAGTTTCACTCTGCGAACTAGTTTTATGTCATTCCTTGGAAAAGTATTCAGAGCCCTTGGGGTGTTGCACATGTCGCCACACCCGTTGCAAAGTTTTGGACTATTTGCAAAATGCAATTAAATTTAGCATTTTGGTGGCAACATCATGGTGTGTGGATGTTTTTTTTTTTTGTTTGTTTTTTTACAGGAGGTTTTGGGAGGAAACCTGTTCAAGGTTGAGATTTACCTCTCTGCGGGACAGGGATCATAAAAATTAAATTGTTCAGACCAAAGTGTAAAAGTTTAGACTGAAATTCTACTAAAGAGGCAAGGCTTGAAAACTGTTGTTAACAAATGCTCTTCATTCAATCTGACAGAGCTCTAGCTGTTTAGGAAACATAAATAAATGGACAGTAGACATTTCATCAGAATTTTTTTTTTTTTATTCACATGCACGACACACTTTTCATATATATATATATTTGGTTAAAAAATGTACACTTCAAGCAATTCTGAAGAAATCCAAATAAAGTACCCTGAGGTTTATGGTTGTAAAAGGACAAAATGTAGGGAAAAAAAGGAAGGGGGTTGTGAATACTTCTGCAGGGAAGAAAAAGGTTTCTGTTTGTGAGCTCTACTCTGTCCTCTGGGTCACTTGGTCTGGCTGTGCTGGTCAGGCCTGTGTAATGAGTGCCTGGTGCTGACTGAGCAGGAGAGCGCAGGAAGTAACTGGCTCGGAGAACAACCGGACACTTTGTTGATCGAGACTAAAAAGCAAACGAGGTGCATCCAGCTACTTAGATCTGATTTAATGTGAAGCTAACCTTGCCATAATTAAAAACAAAAAGATAAAAGAAAAGATTATTTGGTGATTGCACCAAATGGATCATAGAATCCTTTCAAAAAGAACCAAACACATTTTTTTAAAAACTTTGGATAACCTGGACATGAACTGACAACATTGCATGTATGTCAAGTCCTACTTGTGTAAAAATCCATGATGATCAAAGTTCTTCTGACCGCCTGGCTTGACTTCGAACGTTTCTGATTGACGCACTGACCTTTTTGGTCCGGTTGCCATAAAGCGTGCCGGTTGACGTCATCTGAGAAACGGCAGCAGCTGCAGCGTGCCGGAACCAGCAAACAGACCCTGGGTTTGGGTGTGTCGTTTAAGTCGGAGAGATGAAGAGAGCCGGTTTTGCTGATGAATAGAAGATGACCAGAGGAAGCGAAGAAAAGACAGAAGTCTGTCTTGTGATTAGATTAAGCCGGCATGTCTTGGTGAACATGCAACCCACCACGAACAGTGGGTGGATTGTGTTTCTGGAAGACCCAGCAGTCATTTAACACACAACCAGACTGTGAAGTATAAGAGCGGGACGTTCTAATGGGGGAGCGACGGGTCGATGCAGGGTGAAAATAAGTGGCGCCTTCTATTTTGACTTGCAGTGCAATGCTAAAGTACGTCCTAAACTTTTTCTGATTTGGTCACTTTACACTTTACACACTTCATTGTACATCATTAGCACATGGACATGCTTTGATCTAATCCATGCTGTTGTAACCTTGGCTCGTTTAGGGCTGAAGTCCTGTTGGAAGTCAGACGAACTGCTTTACAGCTTGTTAGCTTTGTGTTAGCATCTCACATGAAGCTTCAATAAAACGCAATAAGGTTTCTGTGGCAAAAGGAAGAAAAAGTTCTAATGGTGTCAAAACTTTTCCAAGCTGCTGAGTCATAACAAGTACAAATATGAATACAGTACAAGTTTCTACAGATTTGAATTTTGCATCAACAAAGGTCCTCCTCATTCATTTGACTCTTGCGCTTTCTGTTTTTTTGTTGTTGCAGGGAGTGAAGAAACCCTTCACAGAAGTCATCAAGGCAAACATAGGTGATGCCCAAGCCATGGGTCAGAGACCAATCACATTTTTCAGACAGGTTAGACTCACTGGCTGGATTCATCCCCTGACTGTTTGCTGTGTTTGCACTTTTGCTGATAACGTGGAGCGCTCATTGATGGACACAAAAAAACAATAAAATGTGTCACAAAGCTTGTAGCTAAACCACATATCCTCATCTCTCTCTCAGGTGTTGGCTCTTTGTTCTTACCCGGAACTTTTGGAGGACAACAAGTTTCCAGAGGACGCCAAGCAGAGAGCTCGGCGTATTCTCGACGCCTGCGGGGGTCATAGTATAGGTCAGAACAACTCCCTGCCCACCCCTTTGCTCCGTCCAATCAGTCACGTCTTGGAGCTGCTCTGTACCGTCACAGTCAGTCTCTGTGTTTAACAGTGTCGGCTTATCTGTGCAGACCTTTCAAAGTTCACTGTCGTGTCCTGCAGGGGCCTACAGCGCCAGCCAGGGAATCGAGTGCATTCGGCAGGATGTGGCACGTTACATCGAGAAGCGAGACGGCGGCATCTCCTCCAGCCCCGACAACATCTACCTCTCCACCGGGGCCAGCGATGCTATTGTGGTATCTGTCACAACCTCTGACACCTCCTTCGCAGACTGGCGACATGCTGCAGAACCGACTTAATAGACGCATTGTTCCTTTAATCCTGCAAAAGCGACACGCGTTTCACAGACCTGGCCTACATTGAACGCCTGTCAATTATATACTTACTGAGCTGTACTTTGCACATCTCTGACTTTAATCCACACACAGACCTTTATCACCCTCACTTTTATGCAACCATTTCACACAGCTGAGTAACTTTAAGATATAATCTAGCGCAAAGAGATAACAACCGGCCCATGCAGTAATAAACACTGGCATATCTGGCACAGAGTGTACAGGCAGAGGTGTCAAGTTTTAAATGATTTCCCTGACTCTCAAATACCCCTAGGATGGTATGCAGGGTGTCCACATGTCCTTAAAACGTCTTAAATTCATGTTTACATTGACCTTAATTATGTTAATCACTATTCAATCTAGTATATTCTACATAGTCTTTTCTCTCACAGGATTTTTCTTTCAGTCTTGTGCCTCATTGTGTCTGTTGATGCTGCCGATAACTAGCTAATAGGCCCTTGCTAGCTAGCTAACTTTCTGGTGACTATCATGGATAAGTGCAAATTTATTTGCAGTTGACTGGCTGGTGTTTGTTTATGGCACTGAGTCATATCTGTAGCTGACCCGTACGAGGCCAGGTGGATTTTGTGCAAAAAAACCCAAAAACTTTTAAGCTTGCCGCTATGGGGGCTGTACAGAGACGTGCAGTGTGAAAAGCACAAAGTCACTGCCAAAAACTACAAACAGACCCCAGAGATGTCATAAAATATTATATTTTTGATTATAATGCAACAGGATTCCCCAACCATTTCTCTATATTTATAGTTTATTGGTCTTAAGTGTTTTTCAAAGTGGCATTAAACAGTCTTGAAAAGTCTTAAATTTGCCTTGCTGAAACCTGCAGATATTTTGGTATAGCCGTGCTGAAACTCCTCTCTACATTTTCATTAGTGAGAATTTTTGGTGTGTGCCTTAAGGCTCACCACACAGGGCAGCACGAACAATGGGGGTGCCACTGGCAAAAACCTCGATAATATAAAACGCAGTTTGAAATGTATAAAGGCTTTATTGTATTTGTGAAATCTTTGGAAAATTGTTTTGGTTTTGAACAGCCGTAGATTGATAAGCATCTCAAACACAACATATATTTATTTACGAGTCAGCGTCTAGACTGACTCCAGGTTCCTTCATAAATGATCTGCTTATGGTATCCAAAATCAAGGCGGTAAAACACTCCTCCAAATCTCAGACCATTCTGAAGCTGCTGGTGTGCGGCGAGGGTCGAGACCGCACCGGGGTGATGATCTCCATCCCTCAGTACCCGCTGTACTCGGCCGCCCTGGCGGACCTGGCCGCCGTGCAGATCAACTACTACCTGGACGAGGACAACTGTTGGAGTCTGAACGTGGCAGAGCTCAAGAGAGCGCTAAATGAAGCCAAGCAGCACTGCAAGCCCCGCGTGCTCTGCATCATCAACCCCGGGAACCCCACAGGTACATGTACACAGAACCCTGCAGAAAACTTTGATTTGTGTATCATTATTTTGTGAAGAAAAAAATGCATCTATAGCTTCTATAGGTTAAGATTATTTTCAATTTTTCTGGCAAGAAAAATATTCGAGATACCTTAATTCACTCTTCTACTCTTTTTACTCTAAACGTAATGTTTGTTTTTTATTGTAGGCCAAGTCCAGAGCAGACAGTGTATTGAGGATGTGATCCGATTCGCTAAAGAGGAGCATCTCTTCCTCATGGCCGATGAGGTAAAAACAAAAAGTTTAAATAATCTAAAAGCACAAAGTTTTAAATGATCTCGACTGTTAGGTGGAAAATCAAAGAGATCAGCATCGACTTGGAGGAAAGAAATGTATTTTCTGCCTGTGCATGGGCTCCATTCCCGCATCTGTATGAATGTGTTTCCGCTTCATTTAATTCCTGTGTAAACAGTTTGTTCTGAAACCATTTTCCTCTGGCAGGTCTACCAGGATAATGTTTACGCCGAGGGCTGCAAGTTTCACTCCTTCAAGAAGGTTCTGTTTGAGATGGGACCAGAGTATTCCAGCACCGTGGAGATGGCCTCCTTCCACTCCACCTCTAAGTGCTACATGGGAGAGTAAGCGACTACCTTTATGGATTATTATACGTAGGAATTCTCTAGCTTTTCTTCCTTTACAGTCAGGGTCCGTACAGATGCTTGAAATCCTTGAAAACTTGGTATTTTCAAGGTTTTGGAAGGTGATTCATTTCTGTATATAGTCCTTGAAAGTGTTTAATATTCAAGCTGCACAGTTTTGTAATAAAATGCAATCTAATGTTTTATTAAACGCCTAAATTTATTTGGTTATCAGCTGTTAGCTGCAGCTGAAACCAGAGATTTTCACACACCTAGCAAAAAGATACAGACACATTTTTTCCTCAGACTAAACGTTTCTTGTTTCAGGTTGTTTTTATTTTATAAATGCCAGAAAACTTAGCGAGAATTTTTTTTTATTTTACATTTCAATAGTTACTATTTGTATTGCCTCAATGACGTATTGATCTGTGTAATTGAAATAAAGTTGACTTATATTTTATACGTTAAACCTTATTAAAATTGGGTGATTTTTATTTTATTTTTTTAATTAAATTTGCATTTTCCTTCCAGACCAGTCTGGTGTATATTGTTTGTGTGACAGAGAGAGATATTTCAAAAGATAAAATTTAGTTTTCCTTGGAGTACTATCTCCAATATTGCTGTGGTTGGTGCATCCTCTGTTGTCCTTGTTGTTAAAAGTATTCCTCTACAGGTGGTGGAGTTATTTCTCCACGCAGACGTGTATCGTTTAGTCATCCTCATGTTTGTCTTCTCTCTGTTTGCCTTCGTGAGGTGTGGGTTCCGTGGCGGCTACATGGAGGTGATCAACATGGACCCGGAGGTGAAGGCTCAGCTCACCAAGCTGGTGTCGGTCCGTCTGTGCCCCCCTGTCCCTGGACAGGCCCTCCTGGACCTGGTGGTGAACCCCCCGCAGCCCGATGAACCGTCCTACACTTCGTTTATGAAGGTGACCAAAAAAAACAACAAAAAAAAAACCCTCCCCTAGTCACACGGTGCACTTCCCGGATGCAGCAGCAAACATTTCAGCAAACACATTTCACTTATGTAAATACGCACAAGGACCGACGGGTATAATCTGCACACACAAAGCTTGCATTGAGTGAGCTGAAGCCTTGGCAAGGCAGTAATCGGCTTCTCTGTGCGAGAGTTTTGCTTCTTGCCGTTGGCTTCAAACAGCAGCCTGAGCTTTGCAATGTGGATTATATGCAGCACATTACATAATGTACAGTGTAGCAATGATGTTAACCTGTTTCTGCTGAACCCACACAGGCGGAGGGGTTGTTCGCAGTGAGAGGAAGTCATTCATTATGTGGTCATTACTGAGTTCCCTGGTAACGTGACTCTCAGACTGCAGGGATTTTTTTTATGCTAGCATTGAAATCCTGCATATTTCAGCAATTTTCCATGTGGGAAACAGTATATTTATGACTGCATTTAAAAGCCTCTATACTTCTCTGCTTCCTCTTACAGTAAAGCAAAAAAAAAAAAAAGAATAAAACACATTTTGCACATTTCAGCTGGGCTTGTGAGCTGTTGTCGACGCATCGGGGACAGTCGTGCGATATTCTCTGTAGACGCACGACGGCTGCAGGAAGAGTTACAGTTAAACCAAGCGTAGTTTTTATTGTGACGACTGAAAGAGCTGTTCATACTTTGACGGAGAGAAATGTGTGAACTTTGTTGCTCTTTGATATTGAGAATCATTGACTCAGAATGTGTTTTGGTGCCAGATTGAACTTTTATTGCTCTTCAGTGGCTGGATCATACAGGTCATCTTTGAACTTTACAATGTGACCAGGTGATGTGTAGAAGCAGAACCAAAGAATTGTAAGGATTTGAGTCACTGACATGAAATAAATGGTGATATCCAAGTGGTTTGACTGTAGGATTATGTAACCTGCTCAAGTAGCTCAAACTGCTGAAGTCAGTTCATTTAGATTTTTATAGAAATAGATCAGTTACAGATTTGACTACTTTAACCTCGGATTACTTCAACTTAAGGTAAACAGAACAAGTAAAGGGTTTGCCAATTGCTAACAAAAGGTTACAGTGTAGGTGTAAAATGAAAAAATATTTCACTTTAAGTTATATAACCTAAGGGCCAATAATTACCAGCGTTCACTCAGTGGGGGAATGATGCCACCAAGTGACCCGATTAAAGTATCATGGCCAGACAGTCAGTCAGCTATTTTCTGTTAAAAAGAAGAAGAAAAAAAACACTTTCTGTTTTTGTTCCTTGTTGAACTAACTTACATTTTTCACAGTGGCAGACATGTTTAAATATTTTCAGTACATTTTCTTAAGGCACATTACTCTGTCCACTGTATTTCTGGTGACCGTAGTGATAGACCGATACAAACAAAATGAGGTTGAATCTGGTTTTTAAAAATTTGGAAAAAATAAAAAAAATCCTATCCATTCTACCTGCACATATAGAGACTAAACCTTTGGCCAGTTCAACATCTCCAGCCTGTTCAGTTTTGACAGAGGGCATCTGCAAACTTCTCTTAAGTCTTGCCAGAAATTGTCAATTTGCAACATAGTGCATGAGTCTGAAATGGGAAGGATTGTTTTTATTTTCAGGGACCAAGCGGAGAAATTTAAAATGGGTTTTATTGTCCATGTTAGAATGGCTCAGTGGATTAATTAACATACATTGATAGCACAAAGCAAAGCGTTGTTTTGATGGAAAAACTCCAAGATCTCCTAACAAACGACTGATCCACAGAGTTTCAGCCTCGCTCTTTACAGGATCCATTACAGCCAGTAAGATGCCAGCTCAGAACAGTTATTGTGGCAAAAGATGGATTCAGTTTCGGGTCATCGGTTAACTCCTACTCATTCTTCTCGGTTGCTTCCCTTCCAGGAGCGGACAGCAGTGCTGGCCGCTCTGGCAGAGAAGGCCAGGCTGACAGAGGAGATCTTCAACACGGTACCAGGGATCACCTGCAATCCGGTGCAGGGCGCCATGTACACCTTCCCCCGCATCACTCTCCCACCGAAAGCCATCGACAAAGCCAAGGTCTGCTCTTACATTCCCCCGGTTGACTGGTGATTCAGCGCCAACACGTTAGCAGTCATGCACGTTTGCTTACCTGCAGGCGGAAGGCAAAGTCCCGGACATGTTTTACTGTATGAAGCTGCTGGAGGAAGAGGGAATCTGCTTGGTACCAGGAAGTGGCTTCGGTCAGAAAGATGGAACCTTCCACTTCAGGTTTGCATCGCTCATCATGCTTATATTACAAAAGTATTCACACAGCTTGAACTTTTCCCCATTTTGTCTTGTTACAACCACAAACTTCAGTGCATTTTGTGTTTTTTTTTTTTTTTTTTTTACATCGTAGCTCAACATAAATTAGAGCATAATTTCAAAGTGGAAGAGAAATTTTGTTTATGAATAAATTTTGAAAAATGTGCTGTACATTTGCATTCAGGTCGTTGTTCAGCTGGAAAGCGAACCTCCATCATCATCACAATCCCTTTTATGGTTTCCCAACAGGTTTACTTATTCTATTAACATATTTCTTCTACCTCCAAGATAACATTAGAGTCGTTGGATTTTAGTTGGCGGCATCAGTAAAGGAGCTGAATACAAATGCATAAAACCTCAGATTATCATCTGTAAGGACTTTTAGAAAAACACTGCATAATTGTGCTTCCACTTCATAAGGAGCGATTTTGAGTTGGTCTCTGAAGTTTTGTCTTTACGTGACAAAACACCGACATGCTCCGAGCACTTTCAACAGCGCAGCCATAAAAGTTCAGCGGTATTTCAGTTTGCCGACGCGAGTCACAAACGCATTCCTTCAACATCTGTACGTACAATGTGTTTTTCTTCTTCTCTCCTCCATCCAGGATGACCATCTTGCCTCCTACCGAGAAGCTGAAGGTGGTGCTGCAGAAGATCCGCGACTTCCACTTGCGATTTACGAACGAATTTTCCTAACGTTGCCCCCTCATCCTTTCCGCTGCTGTTCATGAACAAACACATCAAGTGCCAGTATCTCAAGTGCCTTTGAGTGAATGAGGCAGCAGCTCTACAGTACCCGGCCAGAACCTCGAAAACCTTTGACGTTTTGTTAAACAGAGACGTTCTTATGAAGATGTTTTAAGCATCTGTACATGAAGCACTTTTTAGCACCACACAGCCAAGATTATGATCCCGTTTGATCTTTGAGGCACAGTTACAGAAGCGTCTCCCTCCCCTCTTCTGGAAAATGTATTGATGCTTAATGATTATGTCTTAATTTAATATGTTAGGTGAATACAGGATTAATATGAAGCTCCGTAATCGAGCTCAAGGTACGGTCTGACAGTGTTTTTAAGCTAGTTTCAAGATGTAGCCATTTGTGATTATGTTTAAAACTGTGATTTTTAAAATGTGATTCTTTCCTGAGCTGTATGCACTTCCAGTCTCTTCATTTAAAATTTCTACCAAAAAAAAAAAGCCTCTTGTTTCGATTCAACACCACAAGGAGTCTCGTCTGAGTGTTGGCGCAGAAAGCCACCATCATTTTCAGCTTTATTTAAAAACCGTCAGTGCTTACATGCTTTCAGAAACAGAGGTCGAACCTCTTGGAATAAACAGAAACTAAAAAAAAGGATGATTGAAACGCATCAAAGAAAGTCAGTAACACCGATTAGAAACTGCTGTGTTCCCTTTGGCCGCCCAGACTCCACCAAACCCCCAACAGACCCCCCCACCGCCGTTTAGAGTCCTCAGCTCCTTCGTGGAGAGAAAGTCTCAAAGTTCGTCTCTCTTTAGGAGCTTTGTGGCGTGCTGCTCTACAAACTTACCGAGAGCCTCTACTGTTCTGTCTCCGCCTTCAAATTTAACTGGGCTCTGCTTGCTGCCGCTGGGGGCAAAGTATATCGTGGGGAAGCCTTCCACTTTGTAGATGTCGTTCGGCACGTCGTTGGCGGTGGCGTCCATTTTGGCGATCACCAGGTTCTTCTCGGATTTGTACTTTTTGCCGAGCGCCACGTAGTCGGGCTCCAGCTTCTTACAGTGGCCGCACCAGGGAGCGTAAAACTCGATGAGGACGTCCTTTTGGGTATCCATGACGATTTCGTCGAAGGTCTTTCCCACCACGACCTTAACTGGTCCCTTGTTGTTCTTTGGCACTGGTTGGGATTTGACGATGGGTTGCAGCTTTCCTGCAAGACAAAAATCAAGATGTACTGAAAAATTTAGCAAGCTTACAAAACAAAAAACTTATTTTAGAAGTGATGAAATGTGAAACAAAGACCCACCTTTCTTAAAAGCAACAACAAATTCTCTCAGCACCTCCGAGTCAAACTCCTCCGGCTCCATGGCAAACTTCTTTCCTCCGTCTGCCAAAATCCCAACATTCACTTCCTCGCCGCTCTCGCTCAGGCCCAGGCTCTTCAGCTCCTCGGCGTAATCTTCCTCATCGGCGATGGCGAACGTGTACTCCGGAAAGTCTTTGGCGACATCCAGCACCTTGGACCTCCAGAACTGTGTGGCTAAAAGAGAAAAAGACGAGGTGAAAAGCTTGGCAAAAATAAAAAATGTCACTACAACGACAACATTCACCAACTAAAATGTCACAAGTGTGACATTCAGTTCTCTCTACTCTACTTTTTAACCAAGGGTTTTGTGATCTTTAGACTTTTTTGCCTTCAGTCCAGCAAAATAAGGCTCACTCGTAGCTGCAAATTGAAGAGCTGACGTATTTTCTTTTTAAAGTTTTTTAAATAAATAAACTTGTAAAAGAGGACAAATATCTTATTTTGTAGGGTGG